ACAGGAGCTCTTCCAGTTTCGGGGCCTCTTCAGACTGAATGGGACTTTCAAGGGGAAACTGACTATGTTCAGTTCTTTGAGGCCCTGGGTCTTCGGCTGTGTTAGTCTAGTTATCCTCCAGGACTCAGTTTCCTTGCCTGCAAAATGAGGGGGTTGGCCTCTGAGCACTTCCTGATATGAGAAGGAATAGGAAGAGGGCCTAGGGAGCATTCAGCAGGACATAAAATGCCACAGTTTTCCAAGAACAAAGGGGAGGAGGAGAGAAAAGTGGGTGGATTACAAGACCTAAGTCATTAGCAGAAGGGAAAGCAGAACAGGGCCTGGCTAGGAGAGTCTCCTCGCTCAGGGCAGCTCTCTCTGTGCCACCTGGAAGATGGTTCCAACTGTTGACCTCCTGAAGAGCCCCACTGGTCTTCCAGGTGGAGTAACATGTCTCCCTGGACACACCCTGGGCCCCCCCGCCTCCAGCTGTCCAGCCCAGCCTACTCTCTGGTTGAGGTTCATCTCTGCCCCCAACAATAGTCAACTTTCTAGCCTCTGGAATGTTCTGATGTGTGATACATGGACCATACCACACGAGGCTGGAGTTTCCCAAGGAAGCATGAGCTAACCAGACAAGGGGCGTGTGTCTGTGTCTCACCATCCTTTGTATTCAAAGCAGAGGATGCTGCCAGCAGATCACTATCTGGGTATGGGGGTGTGCCTGGGAGACCCGGCACTGGCAGTGAAGCTTTCCCACCTGCTGTGGGCACCTGGGTGCTCACTCCCCTCGTGTTTTCCGCGTGTTTTCTGCAGCTGCTTGCTCAGGACCTGGAAGGGAGGGTTTGGAAATGTGTGGGGGCATTCTTGCTAGTCATGATGACTGCGAGGCACGCTAGCATTAGGGCCCGGGGGCCAGAGGCAGCGCAACATCCTGTCGCGCTTGGAGGAACCTGCACAATGAAGAATTGTCCTGCCCCAAATGCCGACAGCGCCCACGTAGAGAAACACCACGTCATTCCATTCCGTCATGGAGCCGTACAGGCGGGCCTCACTCCTCTTTCCTTCTGAAACCTACTGAGGCGGGTTCTGCGGCCATTGGGTGAGACTAGTGTGGGGCTCTGAATACCCATTTCCTGGACCGGCCTGGCCTCCCGGGTCCGTCCCCGTCAAGTGTCAACCTGGTGGCTCCTTAGGTCTGGCTGTGGTGAAAGGCCACCCACGGTCGGATCCCAGAGGCCCCCAGTCTGCCTCCGGTCTGAGCATCCGAGGGATACAGATGACCCTACTAAACAAACATTTAGGTCACGCACTGTCCTAAGCACTTTACAAACATTCATTCACTGGATTCTCCCCATACTGGGTACAATTATAATCCCAGTTTTACAGATTAAAAAAAAAAAAGGAACTGAGGTGTGTTGTGTTCAAGTAAGTTGGCCAAGTCCCCCCATTGGGCAATTGACATGGCCAGGGCTCGGCCTCAGCAGTGTAGCTCCAGAGCCCGTGTCCTTGACCACTGAGTCTGCCTCTGCCCAGGGAGCTGGAAGAATGGACTGGAGTCCCAAACCTTCAGCCTGATGGACAGCAAAGGGGAAAGGTCACAGGCAAGGAGGCTGGTGACGGCCTGCTTTGTCTGAGCTTTGGAGGGAAAGCCTGACCCCCGGACTAGGACAGGGAAGGGCCTGGCAAAGAGGAAGCGTGGTCCCCACTTGTCCAAGTAACAGTAAAGTGACGGGAGTCACCCAAGGCTCTCCTCAGCCTCCAGCAGCCATAACACAAGGAGCTGGGGTGGGGCTCCCAGGAATGGGTGACGCCACTAAGATGCGGCTGGTGGGGGGAGGGCAGGAAATGTAGTCCCACAGGGTCAGCCCTGCCTTCTCCACCACACCTGCTCCCCGGCGGGCGCAGCCGGCGCCCTTCCCCGAGGCAGCCCACCCTCGCCGAGACTTGGCAGGGCGGCCCGTTGCTCCTTTTCCCAGCACAGGAGCGGCCCGAAGCCTCCGTCAGCCTTCATCAGCATGATCACACGGTCGCTGGGTTTGGTCCAGGACGAGCGTTTGTACTCCTCATCTGGTGTCTGGGCTGACGTCGGGAGTGTCATTTACTGAGAACAAGAGAGTTCCTTGTTGCATTTCCATTTAAGGCTCCCCGCCACATGGGAGTGCTCAGCCTGCCCTGCTATCATCAACTTCCCCCACCTTCCCCCACCCCGAGAGGATGGAGGGCTGAGGGGTGTGGCCATGGGCCTGAAGCAGGGGAGGCCTAATCGCACATTTTGTGCAAGGTGCACATTCCGTGTCAAAAATGCTCAGAAAATTGCCTCACTCCCTTCCCTCTGCCTGTTCCTGTTCACTTCTGCCTCCCCAAACAGCTGCACACCTGTTCCCTTTGGGGTAGGCTGGTTGGACCCAGTTTGGGGAGGAAAACTGTGCCCCCCTGAATGCCCAGCTGAGCATGTAGGTAGAGGAGATGAGAGCGCCATTGTCAAGGTGAACAGTTTGTGGCTTCTGACTTTTGAATGCCACTTCTGACTGGGACCTTGACCCATGGGTGGTTTCCTGCTAAGACTCTCCTGGAGGGGGGCTGAAAGGGGATCGGCCAAGAGAAGGCCCTCCCCAGCCTTGGGTGGCTCGATCTGGTGTGGAAGAGAATAACTCAGTTGTCTAACCACCTCCCCCCACCCCCCACACACACAGGGGGTGAGGCAGGCAGACTCTGGGCAGCTAGGCTTGGCCCTGGCTCATCCCAGCATAGGTGAGGTCCAAGTCAGCCCCTGTGTGGAGACACTTCATCTCCACAGGCCCGGTGTTACCCTCTAGTCTGAGGACAAGTCAGAGCAGGCAGACCCACCACCAGCCTGGGAGCTCCTGGGAAAGTCCCCCTTCAACAGATCTGTTCCGAGCTCCTTCCCACAGAATCTCCAGCTTTGTAGGCTCTTCCCAGGGAGGCCACATCCCCAGGTGAGCTCACACAGAGCCCCTGGGGGTTGCCTCATTTCCGTATGTTTTCCTGTCAGACGGAACCTCTGCCCAGCCTCTCCCTCCTGCAAGCCTGACTAAAAACCCAGGAGGCCCCCCCCCCCTTGCACCCCACCCTAAGCCCCTGGGCCTGACTCCATGCACACCGGTGCACTTGCCATAGAAGGCCCAGGAGCAGAAGCATTTTTTCCCTCTGGCCTGCGAGGGGTTCCCCCGGAGGGCCTGTTACCCTTTGCTTCTTGCCCAGCAGAGGGGAGGCAACATGAGGAGTTCAGCAGGGAAATAACAGTGGTGAACAGTCCTGGCCAGAAAAAGAGACGTTTCTCCCACTCTGAGTACAAGTGGACAAAGAAGGTGGGCCATGTTGGAAGCTGCCGGTGTCTGGGAGTGGCACAGGGCCACAGGGCAAGGACTTGGGGACGCAGGGGCAGGTCCAGTGTCACCCTTCCCTCCTGAGTTAGAAGTCCCCCGTCTTCTCTGGGCCTCCGACTCCCCACCTGGCCAGGGCCATCCACGTAGGACTGGATGAGTGCCTGCACCCCCATAGTAAGAAATGCGTTTTCCAGCCCAGCCCAGCCCAGCCCATAACACAGCATGTGTCTCTACTGCACGCCTTGCACTCTGAGGGCTTCCATTCCAGCATCTACCACGCTGTCCTGGTTTTTTAAGCGAGAGTCACAAATCGGCTAAATGGATTTCACAATCCATAATGGGTCACAACCTGCGGTTTGAAAAAAATAATATGTCAGATGATGAGGCCAAGAGGCCTTCCACTCTGAACATTCTGGGATTCCATGAACGTTATTACGGAGGCCGGGGAGGACGGGGTCCCGTGGCCAGCTGGATCAAGAAGCCCCGGTCGGGAATCCCCACTGAGCCTTACCCCCTTTCTCTGACCAGATCTACAACGGGACCCTCAAGCGGGAGAACGACAACAGGCGTTTCAGTTCCTACAGCCAGATGGAGAACTGGGGCCGGCACTACCAGCGGGGCCCCTGTCCCACGACCGGCGCAGGCAGTGACATCTGCTTCATGCAGAAGATCAAGGCGAGCCGCAGTGAGCCTGACCTCTACTGTGACCCCCGGGGCACCCTGCGCAAGGGCACTCTGAGCAACAGGGGCCAGAAGACCACCCAGAACCGCTACAGCTTCTACAGCACCTGCAGCGGCCAGAAGGCCGTTAAGAAGTGCCCTGTGCGCCCGCCCTCCTGCACCTCCAAACAGGAACCTGTGTATGTCCCGCCCATGTCCTGCAACAAGGACCTGTCCTTTGGCCACTCAAGGGCCAGCTCCAAGTAAGTGCTGCCCGGACGGGCAGGGGGCCAGGGTGGGGGGTCGGGTTGGGGGCAGACTGTCCGCCTGGCTGCACACTGATGATAGAAAGGACCACATCAGTCCCCAGGGTTCCCTTGTCCCTGCCTGGGGGCATTCCTGGAATGGACTGAGGAAGTCCTCAATGTGAAGGGGGAGACAGAGTCCAGACATTAACACAAATGCGTGGGGTATGTAGGTTCTAAAAGGTCACAGGTTATGAACAGAGGGGGGCTAATTAGAGAAGGTTAGCTAGACCAGTGGTGCTCCAAGCGTGTGCCTCGAAATAGCAGTGACAGCATCACCTGGGAACATTTTTGCATTGTCCCCAGACCTACTGACTTGGAAACTCAGGGAAAGGCCCGGCAATGTGTGTTCTAGCAAGCCCTCCAGGGGACGGAGAGTTTGTGACCTTAGGCATGCAAGTCTCCGTCTGTGTTCTGGAAGAGCAAAGGAGTGTCTCTGGATGTGGCCAATGGGCAAGGGGGTCATGTTCCACCTTATAGGACAACAGACAACCAGGACAGACAGACATCAAAACTGAGAAACTGGATCTAGAGCTGAAGAACAGAGGATCTCTCTTGTCCCTCGACCCTGGAGGCCCAGGGAGAATGAAGGAGATGAAGCACATATCCTGTAAAGAGCCACAGGCCATGGTGGCTTGGGGATGCGACAGGGTCCTAGGGGTCATTGGGCCTGCCCTCCAGGGCTCAGAGCTCCATAGACCTCCAAACTATTCCTTATCACCACCTAATGGTCATTTATTCATTTACTTGGCAAACATTTACTAAGCATCTACTATGTTCCAGGGTGTGTGGTAAGTGTAGGAGACCCAGCCAGGAACACACAGCCCAGAGCTATCCTAGAGCCACACACTCACCTGATAAACTTCTCTTCCTAGAGCTCCAGGAGCTTTGCTTCGTCTCTAAACCTCATAGCCCCTTCTAGACAGATGCAGGAACTCCCGAGGAGGAAACAAGGCACAGAGACGTTAACTCACTTGCCCAAGGTCACACAGCTGCTGCAGCACCCTGTGTTCTTCCCCAGTCCGTTGCACTGTTTTGATAATAAGCTGAACCCCATTGTAAAGCTGGACCTCTCCTAACTACTTGGAGGCCATCAGGTGTATTTAGGATGAGTTGGAGAAGGACTAAGAAACCCTTTCCCATGGAGCAGGACTTGGGGCGGCAATAGGCCCTGGCTTATTGCCCCAAACCAGAGGCCCTGAGAGGACGAGGTCTGGGCAAGACATGGAAGGGGATGTATGATGAGCCATTTCGAGCTGACGTTTGACTGGTAAATGTGACATTTTCTCAATGCAGGGCGGGAGGGCTGCTGATACAAGACCAAAGAGCTCTGCAGGGCAGGAGGGCTGCTGATACAAGACCAGAGAGCTCTGCTCCATGGGAGAATTTTCCCAAAATGGAGTTAGGATGCCACGCTAAAGCCACGAATATTTAGTGAGCATTTACCGGCAGGACTGAGCCTGGTACCCACGAGAAGGCCCCTCTAGAAGAGCTGAGGAGATTCCTGGTGGGGTGGGGCTGGCTGCCCCAGGAAGAACTGCCCCCGGAACTCTCCCCCTCTGTTGGGAACCAGGACACAGACAGGTGGAAAGGGCAGCCTGAGAGTCGACACCACAGGAGCTGGAGAGGTTCCTAGAAGAGAGGTGTCCTTTCCCTGGAATGTTCAGGGAAGTGGGACTTCAGCGAGGCACATGTGTTATGAAGAGAAGGGACATGGCCACACCTGAGAGCCATGTGGGTGCTCAGTGGAAAGATGAGTCTTGCTGGAGCCGACCTCATGAGGGGCTGGAGCGTGGGCAAGAGGGTAGAGCAGAGCCAAACGATTAGATTGAAACGTGAAATTTTTTTTGTGGCTCAAAAAGGTTGACTATCAGCCATTTCATACGGTCCAGCTTAACACGTGCCCTTGGATATTAGTCTAAGCAGTCTGCACTTGAACCTACAGGATGGAGAAGGCACTGATGGGAACAACTCCACGAACTAGGTTTTAGGAGTGCTAGTCTGGTAAAAAGGGAGGAAATTTTTGGGTGGGGGAGCTTGGAGAAGAGAGCCGGTTGTGGGGGTCTCTTGCTGCAGTCCCAGTGAGAGTGATCATGGTCAGAAGGAAGGCAGTGGCTGTGAGGGTGGGAAGAAGGAGCAGAGGTGAGAATTGTTATGTAAGAAAATTAGCTGGACTTTGGGAGAGATGGAGGCATTGATGGTTGGATAGAGAGAGAGGGAAAATGGAGGAAGGAAGGATGGATGGATGGATGGATGGATGGATGGATGGGAGGATGGATATGTGGGTGGATGCATGGATGGATGGATCGATGGATGGATGGACGGATGAAGGGGTGAGTGGGTGGATGGATGGACAGGCTATGGCAGCTTGGGCGCACGGGGGGAATTCTGAGCCCCTAATCCCAGGGCTCCCAGTCTACCCTGGAGCCCACCCCACTGCCCATTGCCCACAGGATCTGCAGCGAGGATATTGAGTGCAGTGGGCTGACCATCCCCAAGGCTGTGCAGTACCTGAGCTCCCAGGATGAGAAGTACCAGGCCATCGGGGCCTATTACATCCAGCACACCTGTTTCCAGGATGAATCGGCCAAACAACAGGTAGCTGGCTGCACACCTTCCTCCCCCTGGAGGCCTGGGCAGGGACTGGGCGTGTCAGCCTGACCCCATTTAGAGATGGGTGGGGGTATTTGCACTCGCTCCCTCTCACCGCTCCCTCTCACCGGCCTGGCTGCCTGGGGCGAGGAGTGTGCTTGGCCTCGCCTAAGATCACAGCTGGGCATCTTAACCCTCTAGTAAGTGGACATTAGTCAAGTGTGTCTCCCCTACTGGTCACATGGAAGAAACAGTCATGGGTTCAACAGACATGCCCTTTCTCAGATGCCACTAGAAAACATGACTGCTTTCCACCCTTCAACTCCCCTCCCCACCGTCTGTCTGTCTGTCTCTACCTCTCTGCCTCTCTGTCTCCATATCTCTCCCCCTCTCCATAGCTTGATCCTCTTTCTCACCAGGCATCGAGGTGGGGAAACAGGGCTTGTTCATGCCTCCTGAGCCTGGCTGGTGGGAAGGACGCCTCTGGGGCTCTGCAGCTCAGCCCAAGGGTGTAGTGCCCTAAACAAATGGGTTTTCCAGAAATTCCATGATCCACCCGCATCCAAAATCCTACCAGAGGAGAAGGAGTTCCCCTGGGAGGGTCTCCCTTCCGTTTGTCCTGGTTTAGGATTTTGAAGTATATTTATATCTGTCTCCTCCTCTGGTCCTCACCACCGTATTTCAGAGGAGGAAAGTGGGGCTCAGAGCAGAGGGGCGCCTTCCTGAGGGTCTCCTGGCGAGGAGGTGGGGGACCTTGCCTCTGAATCCATCTTGGCTCCTGGTCTGGCCCATTGCTATGATTCCAACCTGCTCATTCATGTTGGTTGGCTTGAGTCTTTCTGAACTGACGGTAGACTTTGGGTCTGAGAAGACTCACCTTGAGCAGAGCCATGAGATCAGCCTCACCTCCCTGACCGGGCAAGGCGGCCCCCTTATCCCAACAGGTCTATCAACTGGGAGGCATCTGCAAGCTGGTGGACCTCCTCCGGAGCCCCAACCAGAACGTCCAGCAGGCTGCAGCTGGGGCCCTGCGTAACCTGGTGTTCCGAAGCGTCACCAATAAGCTGGAGACCCGGAGGCAGAATGGGATCCGAGAGGCTGTCAGCCTCCTGAGGAGAACCGGGAGCACTGAGATCCAGAAACAACTGACCGGTAGGGAGCCCCTGCTGTGGAGAGCTCGGGGTTGGGGGTGGCAGGATTGCTGGCTGCAGCCCCAAGATGGGGTGTGGGGCGGCCCCTCCAGACTGGCTCAGAGCACAGCCATGCAGACTTGACCTCAGGCTAAGGTCTTGGGAGCCTCCATGGTACTGGCCTTGGCCAGATGAGTGGTGTCCAGATGGTGTATACCCACAAGGGGTCAAGGTCTTTCTGAAGATAGAATTCAAAGCGTGGAAGGCTGGTGGCCAGGCAGGACCCTTGTTCATCAGAGGCTGGGACCTGCAGGTGACGGGGAGGAAGGGAAGTCAATGAAAGCAGGAACTAACAGTTCGTAACCACCTTCCTGTGTCCGAACAAGATGGTAAGCACTCAGGTCAGGGGCAAAAGAGACAGAAGGAACTATGAAACCCTCAGACTGGACGGGGAAGATGAGACCAGGCACAGAGTAACCAAGATCAGTATTTCTGGGATAACTTTTAGGAAGAAACTAGAAAACGTTAGAAGACTCTACATGCTAACATTTATGTTAAAAACCATGAATCAATCCAGTGTTTCTGATCACCTTCCCTATTCATAATTTTGACCTGGATAAAGAACTCTAGATGCTCCCTGCTCTCACAGAACCTGCAGTCTTGTTGAGACGCTGGGAACTGGGCTCAGGAAACAATCAGACACTAAGTGAAATAAACCAGGCCTACTTGGAAGGTGACCTTTCAGTAGGATTCATTTGCCAAAGCAGGCTGGAGGCTGGGGGGTGGTCCCCTGTTGCCTGGGGTCTTCCTTGGCCTGGCCTGTGTTGACTGTCCCCAACCTGTAGGACTGCTCTGGAACCTGTCCTCCACTGACGAGCTGAAGGAGGAGCTCATCGCCGATGCCCTGCCCGTGCTGGCCGACCGGGTCATCATTCCCTTCTCCGGCTGGTGTGATGGCAACAGCAACATGAGCCGGGAAATGGTGGACCCTGAAGTCTTCTTCAATGCCACGGGCTGCTTGAGGTGAGAGAAGAGTGTGCCCGTGGAGTCTTTTGGCCCCAGCCCTGGGCTTTGCCCAGGCAGCCCCATCTCGGGCAGGACTCAGCCAGGGAAGAGAACATAGAATGCAGTCTGCCTGGCACTGGTCTTCACGGGCAGACTCCAAGAAACGGAGCCCCAGTGTTCCTGATGTCCCTGCACCCAGATAAGGATCGGGACTCCATGACCTCCTTTAAGGGACCACAAATGACTTCGTTAGAAATCTAAGAGTGGAAGTGCCAGATCTGAATACCCAAACTGCTTCAACCATTTCCCTCTCCTCCGTTTCCCAAAAATCCATTTCTGGTACTATTTTGAAGAGTGTCCTTTTAGACAAAAGGCGGCTGATGGGCTCCTAATGAGTCACTTCCCAGCCATGGTGCTAACACCAACTGCCACATTCATCGGCATGAAGATGGCACGGCTCTGCCCAGAGTCTCCTGCGTCCCCCTTGGCAGGGAGGAGGGATGCGGGTATGCAGTTACAGGCTGGGTTGTGGGTGCTGGTATGGAGGTAAAGCCGTGGAACGGATCTCCTTTGAGGATCATACCCTGCTCTGATGGCGTTTGTCTTCTCCAACTCCTGGGTGCTGCAGAGTGAGGGGTACAGTGTCTCAGCTGGGGCTCCTCCCTGTCAGCCTCCAGCAGTGGCCTCCAGTGAGCAAAGCTGGGGTGTTAGGGACCTGATGGGGCTGCAGGGCTATTTATTGGTGGCAACAGGAACTACACTTGGAGGGCACCAGGCAAAAAGGCCTGGAAGGAGCCCGCTGCTGGGGCAGAACACAGCTTCCACAGGGAGGGGGCATGTGGCCCCAGCCGAGCACCCCTCGGCTCCTTTCCCAGATCTATCCCTGGGCCCCACAGAGAAACTGGGCAGGCGAAGCTTCCAGCCCCCGTTCAACAGGTGCCCACTAGTGGTAGCGCATGTGTCTTGGGCTGCTAGCTGCATTAGAGCCCTCAACGGTCATAAAAGTTACAGGCCTGGGGCCCAGGTGGGTGGAAGGAGGGGTGAAAAGAGCTCAGTTCAGATGAGAGCCCGTCCAGCCTCAGCCACGATGGGGAGGAATTGCCTGAATGGTCTTTCCTTACTTCTTCCTCGTGCCTTTTGCCCTGCTCTCGTCCTACCAAACCTCCAACCTCATCCTCATCCCCTCGGCCCCCCTTCTGCCACCTGCTCTCCTCCCTGCATGCCCCCCAACCACTCTCCACCCCCACCCCTCCTCCCCTGCCTCCTCACCCCCTCTCGGCTCTCCCCTGCAGGAACCTGAGCTCTGCCGATGCGGGCCGCCAGACCATGCGAAACTACACGGGGCTCATTGATTCCCTCATGGCCTATGTCCAGAACTGCGTGGCCGCCAGCCGCTGTGATGACAAGGTGAGTGAACCCAGGCAGCACCCCACTCCAGCCCTGGACCCCGGTCCTCCTCTTGGAACAGCACTCCAAGGCCCAGGGCCTCCCCAGAATCAGTGAGGGCAGCTCCTTGGGCTCTAGGTCCTGGCATTTTTCTCTCCGAGGCTCCACAAGGCAGGTCTGCCCTTGAGGTGGCCTTTAAGGTATGGTCCAGTGATAGGACAGAGGCCCAGAGACGGGCCAGTGAAGGGGACGGCTGGCTGCAGAGTGCTCTGCTTGCCAGGGACAGTGGTAACAGGGCAGCTCCCCTGTCCCTCAATTAGAGGCTGTGTGAATGCGGACACTTCGTGACATCTCTGTTCCTCAGTGTGCACTTTACTCCAATGGAGATGATCATATCCTGTCTGCCTCCTGGGTTGGTTTAAGGCTTAGTTAGTTCATAAGCAAGACTCAAAGTGGGCCTGTGGCCAAGAGAGTGCGCCGCGAGCAATCGCTGTCACTAGTGCCGAGCCCTGCAGACGGCCTCGAGGAGCCCCACTCATACCCCGGGGATCCTACCTGCACCAAGGCTCCCTCTGCTACACTGGTTTCCCACTGCCCCCCAGTGAGGCCACTGGCCAAACCGCCCTCCTGTCCCCTTTGAGCTTTGGGACACACTAGCACACACAGACAGGAAAAATCACAGAGGGAAGAGGAACTGAAGGCTGGATGTTTCCATCACGGCAGGACAGCAACTTGGGAGAATAGTGAGTTCCCACAGTCCCTGGGTGACCAGGGGACTGTCTGAGCGCCATGTGCTCTGGGTCTGGCATACAGTTTCCCAGTGGCCCGCTCCTCCCCTGGAAGTGACAACAGGACCTCAGGAGAGAGACAGTCAGTCCCGCGGAGGCTCAGCCAGCTCCCAGGGGTCATCATGTTTTCTTTTGCTGCGGATGCAGCATCCCCTCTACCTGTGTGACCCAGACCCAGTGACTCAGAGTCCCTTAAACCCTAGCAGGGCCATTGGACGGTCAGTCTGCTGGCCCAAACCCCAGCCTGTTAACTGAGGACAAAGGCAAAGGCCTAGGAGAAGCTGCCACGGCCAAGTCCCAGGTCCCAGGTCTCACTGCCTGTGTGGACTTGGGATGGGTCAGCATCTCTGCTGTTGGAAGCTGAGGACAAGCCACAACATGGGGCAGTCGTAGGGCTTTGGAACCTAGATACGTCCAGCGGCTCCCGAGGGAGAATGTGCCAGAACAGAGGTGTGTTCTTCAATAGTCCAGCCCGACCACCGGTACCGTGGCTGTCGCACAGAAGCGGTGGCCGCTCTCTGTCGTGTCCTCCTGTGTGGGGGGCCCTGTGACAGGCACTTCCGGGTAGGCCTTCCCAGGAGCCCTATGAAGCAGGTGACTTCAGTCCCATTTTACGACTGAGAAAACCGGGGCCCAGAAGGTAAAGCAAGCCCCTCCAGTTCACGCAGCTAGGAAGCGACAGACTTGGGTTCGAGTCCAGACCCCGGGGAGCGTGACGGGGGGGCGGGATTTTCACGCAGGTCCGTGTTCCTCTGTCCTGGAGCCACTGAGGGGCTGCCTCTCTCTCGTGAGCAAGGGCAGCAGGGGAGCCTGGGATGCCATCGGGGTGTTGGGGAGGCCCGGGCTCAGGTGCCACACTTCTGCTTGGCCCCCAGTCCGTGGAGAACTGCATGTGTATCCTGCACAACCTGTCCTACCGCCTGGACGCCGAGGTGCCCACCCGCTACCGCCAGCTGGAGTACAATGCGCGCAACGCCTACACCGAGAAGTCCTCCACGGGCTGCTTCAGCAACAAGAGCGACAAGACGATGGTGAGCGATGGTGATGACAGAGTCAGGGCCTGCTCCCCACCAGGCAGCCCACTGGACTCAGCTGCCCGGTGCCTGCTTTCCTCTGTCCCCCTCAAGCCAGAAACCAGCAAGAAGGGCCGAGCCCAGGCCGAAGCCCTGGTCTCGGGCTGGTGTCGCGCTCTGGGAGCTGAGTCGAGGGCATTCATCTGGCCTGCAGAGGGGATCTGTGTACTTGAGACTGTAAGAGCTCAGACCACCTAGAGGTCAAAAGCTCCCGCCCTCCATTGGCAGAGCTTATCCTCTCTTACCTGTGATTGATAAGCTCGGCCCCATCTTGTCCATTTCCCTGGAAGATTTGGGGAAGCCGGGACTCTAAGCCCTCTCCGGCCTGGTTCCCACCAGCTCCCAGGCCTCCCAGGTCCCCCAGAAGCAGGAAGGTGCTGTGGAGGGAGGGTTAGTCTTCCCCACTGGGTACAACTATGGAAACTGGGCTCTGGGCCACACCTGCTGGCCCAGGGTGGGTCCGACTCGGAGTCTGACTCTGGGAGGGGAGGAAGGATCATGGTGTGAGACCCAAAAGCAGCTGGAAGGTTTGGGCAGAGACTGGCCGGCAGCACAATCCCCGGGACCCCGAGATGGTTCTCTGCCTCCCTCGGAGACGGCCCGAAGGAGCAGGTCCCCTGTCCTCACTCACTTCTGCGGAGCTGCCGTAGTGAGAAAAGGGACACCAGGCAGGTGCTTCCCAGGTCCCTCCTATCAGGACCCAGGACCCTGGAGCTGGGAGGCACACAGAAGGCTTGGGTTTGCTGCCTTCCCAAGGCTCCCTTCTGACCTGCCCTTTGTCCTCAGAACAACAACTATGACTGCCCCCTCCCGGAGGAGGAGACCAACCCCAAGGGCAGCAGCTGGCTATACCATTCGGATGCCATCCGCACCTACCTGAACCTCATGGGCAAGAGCAAGAAAGATGCCACCTTGGAGGCCTGCGCGGGGGCCCTGCAGAACCTGACCGCCAGCAAGGGGCTGGTGAGCAGCGGCCCCTGCCCCACCCCCATTCCTCCAACTCAGGCCAGGCTCCGCTCCCTTCCCTGTTCTCCCACGAGCGTGTCCACCGTCCGAGTCCTAGCAAACACCTGTGGCCTCCAGAGCTCGGCTCTGCAGGCATGAATAGAGGCGGTGTCCTCTGTGCTATGGGGGAGACGAAGGAGGAGAAATAGCCCCGCCCTCTGGGAACTCCCAGGCAGTGGCAAAGCAAACCCACTCCTGCACGATTCTGTCTGTACCCACTGAGCCCCCTTAGCGTTATGATTCCTGCCCCACGCTGGCCCTGTCTGGGGTGGGGGACAGGGATGAAGGGTATGTTTGTGGCGGGAAGAGTCTCCTGGGTGTTGAACTGGCAGAGGGAAAAATAGAGGGTTTGGAACATGAACGGATCTAGAGGAAAATGTGGCAGGATCAGCAGAGATTTTGAAACCAAATATAGTTTGGAGGACATGATGGAATGGCCCTGAGCCATAGGAGGCCTGTTGCAATCACAAGCATTTAGATGGGGAGGCAGCCAACAATCCTTCATCTTTACTTAGGACAAAAGAGAATCAGTTGGAAGCAGGACCAGGGTGAATTGAGGTAAGGAAGGAAGTTTCTTGACTATGAGAGAATGGGTCTGGGGGTCTTCAAGAACTCCAGACCAGCCGGGACCAGATTACAGCCAGGATGGCTTTGTTGCTAGAGCTGGCCTGCTTCTAGGGGGCCCTGGATGGTATCTCCACATGGCACGGACCCTCTCCTGCCCATCTTTGTCCTAGGCAAGTACCCAACAAATATGCATTGGTTTCCCCGGAGGTAGGGAAGTTGGAAGGTGGTTCAGTGCTTCTTTAATTGACAAATATCACTGACCATGAGGTTTCACGCGAGTAGACACAGATAGGACATGTCAGGAAGGCAGAGCTGAGACCCACAGCTGAGCAGGGGTATCTGACCCTTCTGTTAGACTGGGAGCCGATTCAGGGCCCCTGGGAGCAAGGGGTCTGAGACTACCCTCTCATCACCCATCTGGGTTCCAGGCTGATCCGGGAGTAGAGCTCAAGGTCAGGAGAGGTCGGGGTGCATTTCTGCCTGGGTGCTCTGTCTGTTGCCGGCGCATGAGCAAATTTGTGTCTCTCTTTGTTCGCGCTTCCAACACGAAAGAGAAAAGATTCTGGGGTTTTTTCATTTGGGATTACCTGGCTTGCTTCCACCACGGTGCCTGGGAAGCCACAGGCTAGGTCCTCACTCGGCCCTTCTTCCTCAGATGTCCAGCGGCATGAGCCAGTTGATTGGGCTCAAGGAAAAAGGCCTGCCCCAAATCGCTCGCCTCCTGCAATCCGGCAACTCTGACGTGGTGAGGTCTGGAGCCTCCCTCCTAAGCAACATGTCCCGCCACCCCGTGCTTCACCGCGCAATGGGTAAGCGCCCTCCACAACATCTGGTCAGCCCTCTCCCCCCCGGCCCACCGGCTAGGACTTGGCAGAACCCCGCTTTCCAGAGCCTGCTGGAAGGTCCCCCTCTAAATTTTCCCTCGCATTCCAAGGGGGGAGACTGGCCCACGAGGGGCATGGAGGTAGGAAGGGGCAGGTCCCCTGGAGATGGGGGGGGTGCAGGTGTGCAGAGGTCCCATCTGGGTCCCAAGCCCTGACTTGGAGCTAGAATGGAGCCTTGAGGGGTCACCTGTCTAGGAATCTGGTTGAGGGCAGCCAGGACTCTGGCCCCAGGAGGGAGCCCCTCAGCTTCTCTCTCCCTCAGTCATCTGAGCCCGTGCCTTCCACTGCTTTCTCTCAGGGAACCAAGTATTCCCAGAGGTGACCAGGCTCCTCACCAGTCACACTGGGAACACCAGCAACTCAGAAGACATCCTGTCCTCGGCCTGCTACACCGTGAGGAACCTGATGGCGTCCCAGCCGCAGATGGCCAAGCAGTACTTCACCAGCAGCATGGTCAACAACGTCATCAACCTGTGCCGTAGCAGGTGGGCAGTGGGCGGTCTCCTCCCCAGCCCCCCACACCCCCTCACCCCTCACCCCCGCCCCATGCAGAGCAGGCTGTCTTGCGACTCCTGCAAAGTCTCAGAGGCAAGGCGGAAGCAGCAGCTAGAATGGACAAGAGAGCCAGGGCGTGGGAAGCTTGGATGCAGAGAAGTTCCAGAAGCCAGGAGCACTGTGGGGCTCAGTCCAACAGGCAGGCCCTGGGGCTGCACAAAGGGGACAGAGGCAGTGTGTTCTCCACTGCGGGTCACCAGAGGACATTGGGTCCTTAGAGCATCAGCAGGAGGCATGGAGCAGCAGACCCCACATGGGGGAACTTTATTCTGCTCCAGGGGACTTTCTCCTCCCAGGACAAGGGCTGGGGGACCTTCCCCCTTACAGCCCGCAAGGAGAATCCTAGGACACCTCCAAGTGGGCGGGGCCGTGGGGTCGTGCCCACTGCACAGAGCGAACCTGATGGGGCTCCTTTCTCATGCACCTCTGGGGCCTCCCACGTCTCTAAGACCTGAAGGGGAGGGAAGGAGGGAGGAGGGGGCTCATTCTCAGGCCTCCCTGAGTCTCACCCCACAAATGAACTTCCTGCCTATCCAGTGCCTCACCCAAGGCTGCAGAGGCTGCCCGCCTCCTCCTGTCTGACATGTGGTCCAGCAAGGAACTGCAGGGAGTCCTCAGACAGGTAAGGGCCAGCACTGTTGACCCCTCCCCAGGAGGCTCTCCTGCACTTCCCCTGCACGGAATCAAGTCCGAGTGGGGCAAGGAGAGAGAAGCAGAATGGTCCGCCCCACCCCATGGGGGAGAGGGAGCTATACTCCAGACAGAATCAGAACTAAGAGACCAATGTGCGTGATGATGAACTTGATCACACTCTGAACAAACCTTTAGGCTAGAATTCTGGGAGGATGCCTAGTGCCCGGAGGGCAGAGGGAATTGAGGAAATGTGATGTGCTCTGTGACTGCAGAGGTAGGTTTGGGCTGATTACAAACCCCTTGAATCTCTGTGAGAGTTTGCCTTTAGCACTGGGGAGCCATTGAGGATTTTAGGTAGAGAGTGTCATGATTAAAGCAACACTTGGAAGTCTCCCTCATCGCCAGGGGCAGGGCAGAGGGGACCAAAAGATGCTGGGGCAGCTGTATTTGTCCAGTGGTGACCCTCGCTCCTCTCTGTTCTCAATGCCTCCCAACCTCGTCAAACACAAAGTCCTACCTTAGGTCTTAGTTCACCAAACCTCTCCACACTGGCCGTTCCCACTCCTGCGGCCACCATTCTTTAGACAGAGATGTCAGCAGTGGTGAGGCCAGAACAAGGACAGGACGCAGAAGAGACAGACCGGCCAGACTGACCGTGCTCGAGTGCAAGCCTGGAGAGCCTGTGGCCACATGAGCAGAAAGAGATTGGTTGGGGAGAGGCCAAGTAGGCTTTGTGGGGAGAGGGAGAGCAGTCCCAATTTTAAGAGGTCAAGTCTGAGGGGATTGGATTGGGGCGCGGGGGTGGGACCCGAGGAGAGAGGCCGGGCTCCCACCCAGACAGGAGCACAGGGCAGGTGGAAGCCCCAAGAGCAGGCAGGACCATCATGGGTCACAGGTACATGGGTGAGCCTTGGAGAATAAGGGCAGAAGCTTGGAGAAGACCCTCACCTAGGGGACAAGGATAGCGAAAGACCAGGGAGCCAGGAGGAGCTGTACCACCTAGCCAGGAGGGGGCTGCAGCCCATGTGGGAGGAGAAAGCCCAGGAGCAGGAGCAGGTGAGTGGCAGTCCCGAGGACCACCGAGGCAGCTGGGAGGATGGAAACCAGGGAGGCCCTTGGATGTGGCAATCTGAAGTCCCAGGCCATGGTAAGAGCACTGTTGGCAAAGCAGGGGGAGCCCTTGGGGTCCCTGCCATGGGCAAGGAGGGATGGGGATGGGGAGAGATGGAGGAGGGCAGAGGGGAGAACTGCTCTCCTCAGTGTAGCCCAGAAAGGGGAGAGACAAAGGCATGGGTAAAAGGCCCCTGTTTAATGACAGAGGGCCCAAGCATCTCTGTCATGAGATGAAGAATGGGCAGAGCAGAAGACAGTGAAGGGGCAGGAGGATGAGGAAGACCACAGAACAGAGAGGCCACAGAGGGTCAGGGATGGCCTGATCAGGTAGGAGAGGAGATGGGAAGACACCTGCCCTGGTGCAGAAGGAGGAACTAACCCTTCCTCCAGCAAGGCAGGGAGACAGGAAGGACCAGGTGGTCATGGTCGACTGGGGAAGTCTGAAGGCCACGGCCAGTGGTGGTCCATGTCTTCTGTTGGACAACCCAGTGCTCTTTCCCAGCAATACTATGGTGTGGGCAGGCTTGGCCATATGGCAGCTGCCAGGGAGACTCCATAGAAGGGAGGTAGGTAAAGAGACTGGGTGAGAACTTCCTCAAGCTGTTCCGTAGTGGTCCAGAAAGTTCAGCTCACCCAGAAATACTGACACGACACCCACCCTAAGGCACCCAGAGAGTCCCCTTGCCAGCATGCTTGTGTTCAGCGTCAGTGGGAACCAGCCTCGTCATCCAGTCCCTGTGGCTCCCTCTTAGCCATGCTTCACAGCAGCTTGGACATGACAAGGGTCGTGTTTCTGTCCCCAGAGCTCCCGCACTTGCACTGCCCACTGGGTCCCTGCAGCCACAGTGAAGCCGACCATGAGGCTTGGTGGCATCCCACAGAATGGGAGTTTGCCTTGATGCTGTGGGTCAGGGCAGGAGCAGGGCTGGGACCCAGGAATTCCCACTCCTGGGCTCTTTCCACCAAATCCAGCCAAGCTCAACAGGAACGAGCAAGCCGATCTGTGTTGGAAAAACCAACGTCATATGATTCAGGCCCAGACCAAGTAGGCCTCGGGCTTTGAACCACCTGGTGTCTAGATCCCTCATGTTCCCACAGGCCAGTGAGAGCTGACAGACTCTCAGAGCCCTTCTCAAGGGCGTCTGGGCCCCGTCTGCTGTCCCCATGCACTCCAAAGCATTTATTGAGCACCTGCAGCATGCCAGGAGACATAACAGAAACAAGATTCCGTCACTCCCCAGCAGGAGCTCAGGGACTGGTGGGGCTGCAGGTGGGAGAGCAGACAGGTAAACCGAGCCCACGGCGCGGCGGCTCCTCGCTACCAGCACCAGACACCTCTCTGGTAGATGTGTCCTCGTTACCGAGAGCTCGGTCAAGACTTGGGAAGAAAAAAAAAAAAAAGAAAAAGAACAGGGACAGTCAGAAGGAGGAAAAACAAACAGCTTTTCTAATCTGATTTTGGTTATCGTTCTGTGTATAGAGTAATGAATAAGAGCTTAAATCCTTATGCCTTAATTCAGATTTCTGCGGATCTGCCTAGGAAATTCGGAAGCGCTGGTGGGAGCCCAGACACCCAGACAATTTACTGACCCATGGATGTCAATGGCCTTATGTTTGGTTGCACATTTAATCAGGCCAGGTTTAGCCCTGACACATATCTAATGAATCCAGAGGGCTCTGGCTCAAGGCCAAGGACACTCTGGGAGGGCAGTGTCTGGCTCAAGGCCAAGGACACTCCGGGAGGGCAGTGTCTGGCCCCATCGGAAGTCACATACTCTAATCCTAGAGTATTTCACGCAGTCGCTGTTTCTTTCCCCTGCAGCAAGGCTTGGATAGGAACATGCTGGGAAGCTTAGCCGGGCCCAACAGCCTCAGGAACTTCACCTCCCGATTCTAAGAAGGGGCTGCCCCAGCAAGTACGGATCGCAGGTAAGGATTGGCTCCCCCAGGGCAGAGGCACATCCAGGACACCTGCAGCAGCCTCAGCTGGTCTCAGAGGCATAGGCCAGGCCTGTGCTCCCCAGGGGCACAGAAGAATCCTTTGATCTGGCAGATAGCCTAACTGTGGCCGACACAAGTCCTGTGATGACAGCTGTATAGGCTACTCAGCCAGGGCGCCATGGGCTGTTCCACTACAGTACATTAGGGATATATGATGTCCTGATAGCATCAGCAGACCAGAGGTCTGGGCAGAACTTCTAGGTACGGCTGTGTAGGTTACGCACTGCACAACCTAGGTGGTGCCCTACATGTGGATATGGTATGAATGCCCCCCACCCTGCAGTGATACAATATGTCAGTCTGGGTTTGCACACCTACAGCTCACTTTCTTATCCTTTTCATAATTCACTTTCCAGTCTGCACATGCCTAATGTGGATAAGCTTGTTTCCAGCTGCTGATTCCAGGGACCAAAAACTCAGAACCAGTATCTATGACAAAGGCCTGCAAGCCTTAGCTTCCAGTGGCATCACCTGGTGCTTCCTAAAACACACACTCCTGGCCCCAATCCCAGCAGTTCTGACTCTGGAAAGTGCATTACTAAACAATCATCCCAGGACTTTCTGAGGCAGGTGACATCACCAACCTTCCCTAGAGGGTCACCAGAGATGGCCCTGATGTGGAGCCATCTGCAGAGAGCCAGGGGCGAGGACAGGGCCTCCTGAGCTGAAGGAAGCTTCTCAGCACCCTGGCTCTGTGCCAGCATGCCATCACCTGAGGAGGGTCCTGGTGGGGGAGGTGGCTGTGACCGTGGTCCAGGCAAAAATAAATACGTCAGACACCTTCTCCTGGCAGAAGAGCTTCAACAACATGAGGATGGGAAAAGAGAGAAGACAAAAGTCAATAGATTCTCAGCAAGTGACATCTGGACCCTCAGCACTGTGCGGGGCCCGGTGCTGGCCCAACAGGGTGGGCGTGGTGGGAAGGAACAAAGCCGACACACTTCTGGCTAGCAAGAGCGACCTACAAATGTGTCAAGGGCGACTTGGGAATGCCCTGGCTGGCCTGGGGAAATATCCTTGGGGTTGTGGGTGAAAAGGGGGGGCAGCATTGGCTAGACCTACTGGTGTGGGGGTGTCTCCCTGGAAATGCTAACCGGAAGACCTCTCCTTTTCCAGAAATGATACAATCCAGCTGAGACGACCTCAGGCCTTGCTGGAAGGGTGATTCTTCGCACCCTGTGCAGTTTTGGAAAAGTTCCACTGCAATTGAAAGCAAACCTCAAAACTGTGGCTGATGAAAATATTTTTAGATTTTTTTTTCCTTGGGGGAACTGGCAGGCAAGGGGGGTTGGGAAGGGTGGGCGGGGGGACTTTTCTTGAGTTAAAGGGGCTTATGTTTCATGTCAATACTTCTTTCGCTGAGAAATGGTATGTATATATATATATGTATAATGTAAGTGTGTGTGTGTGTGTGTGCACGCGCGCATGCTTGTGCGTGAGTGCCTAAAAGCACGACCACAAACTTCAAGGAGCTAAGTAAGCTGTTTCTGCCGCTCATGAGGTGGTCAAAAGAACTCTCACTCTCCCACATTTCCTCCACGACTTGCGCTCTTGGTTGAGCTGTCCGTAGTTCCCAAAATGTGTCATGCCAGGGCAAGGGGCCCACACCAGGGTCAGGTCCACGAGAAGCCTAGAGGGAACCATCCCTGGGGCAAGGGGAGGTGGGAGAGGAGCGTAACCGGGGCCGGGGTCCTGCCGGAAGGGAGGCTGGCAGGGCTGTTGAAGTTCAGTGTAGCTCATGGGAAACTTTAGTTGTCTGATCACGCCTCCCTTCCCGTAGGGCCACAGGACCTGGGGCTGGATGGGGTTGGGGCTCCAGGGGACGGGCAAGGACAGTCACGCTTGCTTTGCTATCTGAAGTCTGCTCTGGGGGCGTAGGAGCCAGAGGGATGGGACTGGCCATGGTCTTGGGCTGCCATACCTGTCAGAGGGGGCTCAGCCTACAAAGCCCCTGCCTTCAGGGGCTTGTCATCTGTTTGTTTCGGGAGAAAGAAGGCAAAATGATCCTCAAAGCCAAAGAGCTATTTGGGGAATGGCTGTTAGGTCTTCATATTCCTGGTGGGGAGGGGGACAGGCTGGGTTGGACAGGCAGCCGTGCCAGGCTCCTGTGGGACAGTTGGCGGTTTGGAAGTTAACCAGGAGCCGACTTCCCTGCTGAGACCCAAGAGAGGGAGTGTTCTGGGTCTCGGGAGACTTGGAAGATGGAAATTTGGATAGACCAGGAAAGGAAGCTGGTAGCCCAAGGCCGATCCTACCTTCCCCTGAACCCCAGCCTTCCCATCTCCACTCTGTCTTGGGGAAAAGCACAGAGGATGTGATAGAAGAAGCTTGTCAGGGGCACCTGCCACCCCAAGGCCCCAGACTCTTGTGCATTTCAGAGAAGTAGTAGTAAAAGGACCTCCCGACTGCCTCATGGGAAAGCTCGCTGTCAGCAGCCCTCGGTATACGCTGTAGGGTAGAACAGAACATGGGTTCCCAAGGCTTCCTGACATCTGCCTCCGTCTCCCGTACTAACACTGTTGGTATCAGCTAGGAATTAGCTGCCTGGTCCACAGCCTTCTCTAGAAGAATAAAAGGTGCTTCTCACTCTTCTTTCCTCCTCATCAGCCTCCCAGGCCCCCTGCTCCCCACCCCGCTTTACCCCCCATCCAACCCCGCTTCTTACCCCAGCAGTCAAAACCGAAAAGTACCCTTCTGGACGAAGGATGTGCCTGCTAAGACATGTAACAGACTGCGGCCAGACCTGTGATAACAGGCCATTTAATCAGTGTCCCCTGCTGCTGTGGGTCCGCGATGCCCTTCCCCCTTTTTGCTCATGATGGAAGGCCTCCTCCTGACTCCCTCTCCCTCAGGGGCCACATGGGAGTGTGGTCCCACCAGGCCGTCCCGGGCGTAGGTTCTAGGATGACTCCTCTGGTGACCAGGGCTCAGAGGAAGTCATTTCTTTAAAAAAAAAAAAAAAAAAAAATACGTGCAGAGCACCAAGATATGCCAGGCAGTGTTATAAGCCCTCAGCATACATCCACGAACAAACAGACCACAGCCCCGTCCTCGTGCAGCTTACATTCTCAGAGAGGAAGGAGGACACATGGGGTGCTTGACTTTGGGGATCCCCCTCCCAGTGTGAGAGGATTGTCCAGTCAGGGCGAGAGGAAAAGAGCCCACGACCAGTGAGTCTGTGGTGAGTGGCCCCCAGGGAAGTGCCCCTTCCCTTAGCGCTCCCTCACTTTCTGCCACTCCGCTCCTCGGCTGGATTTGTCACCAGCTAGGGTGACGAACCAGGTGGGCCCAGCCCTCTGCCTTGGGGAGGAGCGAGCTAAGATGAACAGTTAGGCCAGACCTGATTTTGTAATCTCTCTCGTGCTTTCTCCGGCTGGCCAGCTGGGCCCGACACCTGGGCTTCTGACCCGTGGCTGTCCCTTTGGAAGAGACAGCACTGAGAGAGTCCTGAGGATGCATCTCCTAGTCAGGGAGGAGGGGTTTGCCCAAGGATGGCTTGGTATCTTCGGCCCACACTGGCCTCACGCTAGCAGAGCTGACACCCGAAGCAAGGGATTCCAATTTGGGGCCAATGAGGAAGGGCATAGACCACTCCATCTCTGCCTGTCCCGGCCCTGACCCCAGGATCTCCTGTGCTTCAGATAGATCTGGTCATTGGCTGCCAGCAGCCTCTCCAGGGGGGCGGCCAGACCAGTGTCGCAGACCCCATGCTTTCCCTCATGATGCAGTGAAGGGTTTTCTCCAGATACGGAGACAGTGATAGTCTCTCTTGTCCACCCCCAAAGCCTGGCTGAAAGGTGGAATGGTCAGGAGGAGGAAGGCTGGGAGGATGGCATGGGCAGGGGGAGATGGGCAGAAGGAAGCCCGGGGGATGGTACTGGAGGTATCCTGGAACCCATCTAGAGTCCAACCTTCCCTTTGCCCCATGTTTGTATAAGGACCTCGCACTGGCCAGGCCCAGTTTCCCTGTGTGATGCACTATGTATTTGCTTTTGTGGAAATATAGGAAATCAATAAATTGCTGGCATTTCTTTGAACTTCTTCGAACAGTGGATTATTTGGGGGTGCCGTTGAGGAAAGAAGAGCTGCTCACTCCCTCCCAGGCTCTCCTCTCACTCAGCCCGTGCCGGGCTAGGACTGAGCACCACCTGAGGGAGACGGGGACCACCACGCAAAGGCCCCTGCCCCATGTCCGCACATCTGAGCTCCACAGGGGCTCCATGACACCAACACCCTCCCTCCAGCGGGAGGGAGTACGCCCATATCACAGAGCTTGGAGAGGGAAAAGGCGCCCCACCCATGAATGCACCAGGCAGAGCAGCTGTAGGGAAAGGAACTTCAAGGGCATTAGAAGAACCCAAGTTTACTGAAAGTGCATCCTACCTGCGTCCTGTATGGGGCGCTTGGAGCATCACAAAAGCAGAAGATGCAGTGGGCCCCGGCCACAAGAGGGCCATACACCATAGACCATACACCATAGACACACATGGGGAACTTTCTAAGACACAGCTGATAAATTCCAAGTGATGGTCTGAACATAACCACTGTAGGCCATCACTGAGTGTCAGGGCCCTCTGGGCGGGGAAGGCTGAGAAAGCTGAGGAAAGTGTTAAAGAGGAGCTCTTCCCAGCTCAGAAGGGTGGTTCCTGGCACGGGCTCTCTAGAGAGCCATGACCCTGACTTTCTGGGCCATCTCTTGGCTCCGTAATGGTCAGGGCAACCTGGGAGGAGAGGCTGCACCTCAGCCCAGCGGGAGGAAGGTGGCTTGTCCATGGCCTAGATTGTTAATACACTCAGTCTGAGGCCCCGGAAAATGCCTTGAGACCTGAAAACATGTATTGGCTCTGAAGTGTGAGCTCCAATACAAATTCAAAATCAAGAAATGTCAGATGGTTAAGCTTTCCTTCCAATAGTGCACACACACAAACACACAACTTACACGTGTGCTGCTCTCTGAATCTTTGCAAACTGAACACCCCATGCAACCAACACCCAGATCAAGAACGAAACGTTACCAGCACCCGAAGTCCCCCTCAAGGCCCCGCTTGCCGAGGGTCACCACTATCCAGACTCGTAACACCGTAGAGTCATTTTGCCTGTTTGGTGCTCTGTATGAATGGAGCCAGGCTGTCGCTTGCTGTGTCCATCAGGTTCATCCATTACTATCGTATGTCACCTTCACAGCTGTGAACTTGGAAGTCCAACGCAGGACAATGCTGCAACGCAACATACGGTCTGACAGCACCATCATGGTTCTATCTAGGATTTCTAAGCATCTGGAAATAATGTATGGATTAGCCATCTCCCTTCCCCCAAAGTTCCCACATGTGGTGTGATCACTGGGAAATTAAAACTAACAGCAAAGAAGTTTCACTTCATGTGGGTGTGGGTGCATCTGATGTGTTGGCATGGCAAAGGGCTCCAAAGGTCCTGCATTGGCCATCACTGGCCAAGAGAGTGACAGGCCCCTTTCTGGCCCTTCAGGCTACTAGCTTATGAACAAGGGAGGGCCCTGGGGTCTCGGAGCAGAGGGCAGGACAAAACTGGGGGGCCACCAGGAGCAACTGGAAGCTTAGATGGTGCCAAGGGAAGGGTCCCAGGTCCTCGAGAAAGACTCTCCCAGACTCCTATGGGCAAGCTGCGGACGGCTCTCTGTCCCTAAGCCTTGAAGTCATTTCCTCCTGTCCCTTTGCAGATGGCCTGGCCTACGGCCCGGATCCCCCCGGTAGTCCCAGCTACTCTAGAGACAAAGCAGTCTTTGTGCTTCACTTCTCAAAACGCAGGTCATTCTGTTGCCCAACAGGCTCAGAGAAAGAATGAACAGAAGTTGTTAATAACAATAGTCTTTTTACTTAAGGGGCCAAAAAATCACCCCATTAACCTTTCAAAGATTTAAAGTATTCATTTTCTGTTTTGAGCTTTGCCTCATTCTAGTGAGGCAAGCAGAGCTCTGAGTATTACATTCCAGTATGTAGATTAAGAGAGAAATTGTCTTACCCAGACTCACGTTGTTAAGTGTGTGACAGAACCACAAGCATCCTCTGTCCCAGCCCAGGTGTGTACTCTGATCGACTCCCTCGAGCCTTCCCAACTGTTGGGGGCTTAGGACGGGAATAAGACCCCGATACAAAGGTAGGACTGTGCACATTTCAGCCCAGTGGTCCAGAAGCTCACGCCACCTTGAGGCACGCTAAGACTGCTCGTCGTATGAGCGTGGGTTGCTATGCAGATGTGCTGATGAGTAGAAAGTTCTGGTTTGTGGCATATCAGGTACCTGAAACCACGGTGACGATCATCTAGTCTGGGGCCACCTGGTTTGGTGGGTCAGCATATGGGGCCAATGAACCCCAGCAGGCCTGCCCTAACCTAACTGGTCATCCTTCAGACACCTGTGTCTGCATCAGCAGAGTACAAATGTCACCAAGTAGTATGTCTGCCCTCACCTCAAAGGCGATGAACCCCACAGACGGCAGATCAGCAGACACATTCCATGTAAGAAAGGGCTGCCTGCTCCCAATGTTCCAGGCCCATGAGTCAACCATTAAGAAGTTTCATGACTGGTGAATTAAAAAAAATTTCCATATTAATCAAGGCTCAAATCTCTGGGCTGTAATCCTACCCCCTCTACACAAAGCCATTAAAATCCTGCTCTCTACACCTCA